TATTTTTTCCGAGAAAACAAATGATTATTTGAAACTTTTTCGAAGAGTAGATACAACTAATTGACAGGTAAAATCTTACGTAAATTATAAATTTTTATTTTGGTTAAGCATCTTATTAAAAAAAAATTGATTACGTAAAGTGGAAAATATAAGATTCTGACGATTCGATGTTTTCTCTATCCACCCTTTAGAAGCCCTAAGAAAATAACGTATCGTAGACACACAATATGTAGAGCAAGTGAACCGTGTAAGTAATGGTTATCCCAGGTCAGTCTCGCGAGCAATCAGAACGGAACAAATTGGGACGAGAGCGATTATCAAGTCCCGCAGGGCGGTTTCACATTGTGTAGCAGGCGACATATGGTTGACGTTTCGTTACTATTTTATGCACAACTTGCTTAAATACCGTGAAACTTTTTCGTCGTTTGCAATGAAGGCAGGAAAGGGTGGAAGGAAGGAAGCTAGCGTGGAGCACGTAAGTAGCACGTAAAACCGTCTCTCTATTCCTTCGCTACTTCCTTCGTGCGGATGTCTGATTGTAGGTTCCGGAATATATCAATTGTATTTCGTTTTGGTTAGAGACTTCTTGACTTCCGCTCGTTCGTTGAAGTTTGCTCGTATATAACATGCAATATACAATATAATATTTTTCAACGTCAGGCAGGAATGTGTGATAGCTTTAATAATGTTTATATGCGAAAAAAATTTGTCGATTAATTGTGATCATGGATATTAATTGTTTTGCGTAGGCATTATCTAATAGTCAATAATCATACGCTAATTGCATTTTTCGTGTATAAGAGCAAGTTCTCAGAACGGAGGACTGTGTTGACGGAATAATTTGCAGCTACGGCAACTACGCACACACACGTGTTAGCTTCGACAATCTGGAAAGTGGTTAAGCATTAAAGCCGAAATTCCTAGCTAACCGTGCACCAGGACGACGGACGGTAACGTCGACGACGCCTCGAGGCGGTGCAGTTGCAGGCAGCGAGCTGCAGCGAGATAGGCTAACGTCATAGGCCGTCCCTGGGGTGCAACTATGCCTTTGGCTTTGATGTTACCCACAGTTACGTCACGTGATCGTCCGCTATATCGCAGTTAATGGCCGGAGCCGCATAGGAACGCGGCATTATCGAAGGGAGTTTAAAGGGAGCCGAGGAAGGGGATAGAAGGGCGAGTAGAGCCCACCGGTGCATCCGGCGAGGCGGAAGTCCTGCTGGACAGCCTCCGGATGCTTCGTGGCGCCTACGGCTAGCGAGACACATTCGCGCTGCACCGACGCATCACGCAAATGCAATTATCCGCGACGATTCAACCGCTCCGCGTCTGCGAACGACGCCGCAGCAGATTCGGATCGCGTTCTGGATGGTAGACGCTGCGCGATGAGGCGACAGAGAAAATCACGCGTAAATTATAAGATCAAGGCTAGCTTCAAGATTCCTGTATGCGCGCCGATTAAATAGGAAGCAAATAAATAAATAAGTTGATTAATTCAATTTAATAAATTATAGATCTACTAGAGCATAATTAGCGCAATAACTTGAAGATTTTATTCTTAACTTAAATCGCTCTTTTTAGGATACTTATATATAATAGTACTGCCTATGGGACAATTAGTAAAGTTTTCAAGAGAGACAAAAAACTGTACCACAAGTGAAATATATATACAACTATCTATGTAATGAACATTCTTGAATGCACATTGAAACTTATTAATTGTATTAATTATATTATAAATAATATGTATGATCATTTACGACTTTAGTCTACGGAACGATGATACGGAAAAATCGAAGCCAAAAAGTGCATTTGGAGAAAAATGTTACATAGACGATATTGTTAATTCACAGACGATATGCTTTTTTCATATTCATACGTACAACATTTAATTTTTAGGTATTTTTAATTTATTCAAACATTTAACTAAATCTTCTTATTTAGGTATTGTATTATTGGCATTCAAGTATGCAGGGTGTTTCAGGGTTAAATGTCCTAAATTAAAATATGAATTTAAAACTTCAAAATAAGAAAGAATTTTCCTCTGTAGATATGCCTGTAAACGCTTTGTTTAAGAGATATTGACATCTAACATTTTTTATTATAAAATTTTATGAAAGTATTATCAGGTTATGATAAATGAATAGTGTGTTTTAACTACTTTATTACAAAATTTAAAAAATTTCAACATAATTATAAATTGTGTCCAAGGTGACAGCCTTGAACATTGAGACAGACTTTGTGTGTGTATGTGTGTTTCACACGGTTGAATAATTCTTCTTCGTAAAGAATTAATTATTCATTAACCGGTCTTTCGTAAACTTCTTGTTTAATAGCATTTCAAGCAAGAAATCCAATGGCGTCAAATCTGGAGAGTGTGCAGACCAAGCCACAATTCCGGCACGACCAATCCATCGATCGTGATAATGATTATTTAGTCATTGTCGTGGATCTCTGCCGTAATGTGCAGGACAACCAGCTAATTGAAACCATGAGTTTCTTCTTATGTCTAACGAAACATCTTCAAAAAGATTATAAAAATCATTATTTAGAAATGTGTCCGCATTGAGCCTTGAAAATTACACTTATCCAGTGCCGCTCTGCTGTCGTGAAAGGAAGATGCCAAGCCTGTCTTAATGTTCAAGAGAGAGAGGCCGTGACTTTGAACAAAATTTATAATTATATTAAAATTTTCCTATTTTTTAAGTAATAAATTAATTGAAACATGCTATTAATTTATTTATTATAACCTGATAATAATTTCATAAATTTTTATAATAAAAATATTTATTTGTTAATATCTCTTAAACAAAGCGTTTACGTAAATATGTATCTTTGTAAAAACTACAAAATTACATTTGCATTTTTAAGTGCAAGCTTGTTTTATTGTGTAAACTTTTTGTTTAGATAATGCTATAGTACACGGAAAAAAAGATTAGCTACTATAACTAATATAATCGTAGTATATGGATAATTAACATTTTTTGCAGGGGAAACAAAACGTTTTGCTATTGTTAAATCATAGCTCTCGCTGCAAAACATATAACTATCTCTTTTTTCCACATTTCCGCTTTTTTACGACTAAATTTAGTTAATTTTTTTTCAGTGTATGCATAATATACATATTACATAGCAATCGTTTGTAATGAACAAGCTAAGTAAATGCTTTTGGTATTATAAATCTGCATAATATATAACAGCCATGAATATGTAAATGCGTGAATATGGCTACGGTCAACGTGACGCTACAAATGCTTTGGAGCGTTCTTCTCCTTCTTTCTTCATTGAAAGAAAAGAGATCACGTTGACCGTAGCCTATATAACATCAGTTGGTTTTAAGTTGCGCTTTCTGTTCGGAACCGCTCAGTTTTATTTAGGCATCGCTAGGAGAAACATACTTACGTAAAGTGAAACTGTGGCTCAACTGAAATCTAAACATTATAATTCGGAAATAATGGCTAGTAAGTTCTAAATATATATATATCGAAGAAATTTTAAAGATTTAAAATTTCTTTTAGAAGGGACACTCCAAAAAATCCTCTTATTATTTTTCCTTAAAATTATGTGTTAACTCATATTATATAGATTTCACAGATGCACGAACGATGAAATGGCTATTGTTATCTTCGCCGATTCCAATTATTTTTATATCGCTGGCTTATTTATACGTCGTCTACTTTACTGGACCGCAATTTATGAAAGACAGAAAACCGTATTCGTTGAAAAGGTTTATACAATGTTATAATCTTTTTCAAATTGTTGCAAATTTTTGGATAGTGTTTAACATCATGACAGATGGTAGACCGTTCACTGCCGTGTGGAGATATTGCGAGTCACTCGATCAAATTTGCGGTCGTAACAGTGAAAAGGTATGTTAAGCTTTTAAATTGTCAAAAATAAGGAATAATTTGAATTTAAATTAGTACACTTTGAATATTTGAGAATTATATAATAAATAATTGTTACTCATACGACATACGCAATAATATTGATAAATTTGAACATGTGAACCAAGAAAGAATAAACCTTTTCTTCGCTAGTGAATAAATAAAAAGGAGAGTAATAATTGACGCTGACTGGCAATATATAAATTTATTATATTTCACGACCTGTTGACCGTCACTTTCGGTTCTTATCAAGTGTTATTAAAGTTATCTTCATCATATCTCTTATCATATCTCTTACGTAAGGACCGAAAGTGACGGTCGAAAGGTCGTGAGATATAATAAATTTATATATTGCCAGTCAGCGTCGATTATTACTCTCCTTTGAACATGTGAATTTGGAGAATAGATATAACTCTGTAAGAATTAACAGAATTGAGATAATACCGATTTCGCAAATAGATATAATTTTCTTATTGCAGCAACTTGAAATTATATGGTGGACACTGTTGCTTAAAATAATTGATCTCATTGAAACCATAATATTTGTATTGAGGAAAAAAGATCGTCAGGTCTCATTTTTACACACGTACCATCATATTTCCACGGTTGTCTATCTTTGGGCGACGCTCAGACACTCTGCGCACAGTTTCCTCATGACTATAATAGCGCTTAATTCTTCTGTACACGTGATAATGTATTCCTATTATTGTCTGAGCACTTTTGGCTCGAATATGCAACGAAGACTTTTACCGTTCAAGAAGTGGATTACTCTTATACAAATGGTAAGCTCTGAATTTAATTCGTCGATATACTTGTTAATATTAAATATTGCTTTTATTAAAACAGGCACATATAGCATTCATAACGGTGGGCAGTTCGCAAGGTTTCATACTTAGCTGTGGTAATACGAGTGTGAAATATTTTTCTGTCGCGACATTTCTTAATGGCATTGTAAACTTGTCATTGTTTTTCAATTTTTATAATTCTTATAAGAAATCGAAAGCCTGATTGTGTGAAGTACAATTTTGTTGAATGAGGAATGAGCATTATTATTAGCTTGACACAAAATTCTTCCTTCTATTTATTATATTAAATATACCTGTGGGCACGTATGTGTATGTGCTGTTTTTGCTTATTATTCCACAATTTCCTGTGTATTTATCATGTACAACAACGACGTAGCGTAAAACGGTCTCGTAGAGGGTTGCATCTTTGGATGTTGGAACATCTTGAAAGTTGAAAGATAAATAGTTGTCCGGCACAATCTCTGCGTGCACGTGCTGCGCACTCCAGTCTCGTGCATTCCAGTCTCATCAGGGCAGGTGATACTATCTCACGAGCGTGCCTTAAGTGCTAATTTCGCGAGCGTCACATTTCCCACGTTTGACACGGCGAATCCTCGGGAGATCCCGCGCGTCCACGTCGATGTCTACACGCGCGGCGGCGTACATAATTCTGGATTTAGTGTCGCGTTAGGCCGTCTGAGTTTGAGGATCGTAGTCCCCCGAGTGGCGCGAGATACCGCATGGCCAGCCGTGCAGCGTGATTTGTGGACGTCAATACGGGGGTTATGCGTGACGTATCTCACCGATCATAATTACATCCTGTTACTGGAGAGATCCCAGCGCCACGGCTCCTCCTCCTTCCTCCTTCCTTCCTTCCTTCCTTCCATCCGCTCGTATAGCTCGTACCGCTCGACTGTTCTCTCTATATCTACGATGACATCCTCCAGAACTTTCTGATTTATCGATCCTGTAGAGAAATGGAATAGCTCAATCTTTCGCCGTCTTGTTGACAAAGCGTCGCGAATTTATTCGAGGAGATTATATCTTCTACACCGCCCAACAGTTTCGATCGTAAATTAATTTCTAATTATGCATGATCGATATCACTTGTTATGGGATAAGGGTCGATTTTAAGTCGACTTTATCGTGCGTATTGAAAAAGGGTCACAAAGATATTTTTATGTGGATTTGCGCCGTATACATAGATAATCTGACTTTACGTTTATTGCCCGGATCATTGCGAGCTTCCTTTTTTGTAGACAGTGATATACGATATTTAAACGGACGCAGTTTAATTTCCATCAGCAACTAGCTGCTTATTTCAAACGTATTTCGACACTTCCAAAAGTGGCTTCTCCTCCTTTCGATGTTCTTTGAGACGGAAGTCATAATCTTACGTGGCTGACAGGTAATAGCCGAACATCATTGTCGCCACCCTTTGGCCCGCGTACACACGGCTATTGTGCTGCTTTTTTATTTTTCTTCGCATCGCGTTTAATAGCGACAACAATGTCAGTAAATCACACCTAGACTTGTGAACCTAGCGCAACTCTGGGCGAGGCTATTAGTATAAATACGGTTATAATGCAGGCCCCAGGGGTTGGAAAGGGTATAAACAGCTAGTAAATCAAGACCTGCGCGACCCTCCGGCAGCAGGGGTCTGCCACCGACTCGAAATCAGGGCGAACGTTTAGCGCCTCGCAATAAGCGAGTGAGTCTTTTCTAATCGGCCGTTTTTGCCCGCCTGCTGCTCTTGCAGGTGGTCGTGTCGCGTTGACATCATTGTATGCGTTAATATTAAACGAGTCGCATAAGTTCGTTTTGATAAAAATGAAAATATGGGAGGCACGCAAACAAAATTTGCAAGTAACAGAAGAAAAATTGCAAGTGACAGTAAAAACAACGATAATATCGTGTTCTATTTATTGTTTACCTCTACCGTAAAAAAGTAAAAATAGAAACGTAAGAAATTAAAAATGAGTACACAGAAAAAAAAGAAGTGTTAAATCAAGACTTATATTCTTATATATATTAGACATCATAGACGCGCGCTACGCGCGCGCTTGCCCTTTTTAGAAGAGGATTCTTGTATAAGCAAGAATCTATAAATCTTCTTATAAGAATTTCAACTTTTTATTTCAACTTTTTTTCTGATTAAACCACGTGTCAATAATACCTTCATTTAAACAATTTTTCTTCGTTTAACATAATTCGTATCTCATTTCAAGATTATAAATTCTTGTATTCATATTCTTATATACAAGAATATGAGTCTTGATTTTAATACTTCTTTTTTTCTGCATGTTTACGTGCATACATTTCCATTTAAAATTGTATAAATTCCTTAAGTAATTTTAAAAACTGGTTTTGTGCAGAGACAAAGATGACATGATTACTAACGCGGTAAAATAATTTCTTCTCCCTCCTCTCTCTCTCTGCCTCTTTTTTTAATACCAAAATATAATTTTAACACATTAAGATTTACGATTCCGTAATGAAAACGCGAACTATATTTGCTTCACACTTTTTGGATAAACATTTGCCCAAATTTTCACCTCAGGATTTCCATGTTCTTTTTGATTAATCGTATTTTTCCTGATCTTATAAAATAAAAGGGATTTCTAAAAGATGAAAGTAAAACGTAATTACTGTAATTCCAAAAGATATTGGCCCACTGATCGTGGTAACTGAAAAGATCCGCGGGCAGATGACGGGAGACATCGCGAGTTCAACTTGTACGAGTCTCTCACGTAACATCGAGGACGTACCTCTGCCGAATTAATCCGCCATTAATATCCGCGCGCCGAGGCGGAAGAGCCGGTCGAGTGTGTAAAGCTTCTCTCTAAACAAGCGGTTCTAACAAATGGCGAGACCGTCCACGTCCGCGTCTCCCGGCATGGCGCTCCTAATGCCGCGGCCATGTATGCATACGACCGGACGGTGATTAATGCCGGCGCGGAGGGTCAAGATCCTCGTCGATTAATCAAATTAAGGGTGGAAGCGCGAGATAAAACTCGCGCCGCTGGAAAAGTCTGGCGGCGCGGCCGATGAGAAATCGTCACCGTGCGCGTTCGCCCGTCCGATATTGCCGGTGTGACCGTTGAAAGAGGGAAGTCCGCAGGATGGGGCATCGGGAGAGTCGTGCGCAAGTGTTGAAAAATGACGGGCATGACTTATCTGTATCGAGAATTGCGCTTGGCGGCCGTTTGGGAAGAGGCGTGACCACTGGCCCTTAGAGGCTTCGAGCTCCGATACATTCTGGACGGAGAGAAAACTGGACGCTCTAGTCTTGTTATGTTGCACACAAGGTAAAAGGGGCTTAAGATCTCTCAGGTGTAAACGGAAATGTGAAATATAGTCCTGATATGATCTACCCAAGTTAACCCTGTCTGTTGATCGTTTTCCAAGGTTGGTTCATCGCTCGTCGTTCATCGCTTCAGCCGTGCGAACGAGGGACGGGTAAACGCGTCTGATGAGAATCAAATACGGCACCTACGCGTAACTGAATTTACGGGTCGTCGGGCGTTCTCTCGGCACCGCAGACGGACGCTATAGAATATAGATGGACCTCTTTCAGCGCGTCCGGCAGCGCCCCGCGATTACCAACGCGGCGGATCGGCGGGTCCCTCGAAACGATCAGTTAAGTCCCGCGCACGAATTCATATCTCGCGCATCGTTTGTCTCGAACAGAAGCTCGCAGGCATTCGTCGGGGACGTTTGAAGCGATGAGCTGCGGAGCGAGAGAAAGAGGGAGGGTTCTCGCCGAGTTCAGAGGGCGATCGCCGTGTGTGTACGAAGGTGGGACGACGTGCGGCAGAGGCGGGAGGAACGGGAGTGAAAGAGAATGAGGGAGATAGAGAGCGGGGCCTCGTATTCGCAAACACGCAAATTTCAAAAGGCACTCGACTATGTGATGTCGCGGCGGGCATGAGCGACGGGGCTCTCCGACGACGTATGCAAATACAGATCGAGCATGATAAATTGCTCTTGTCAAGCCACCCGGTATTTCGCACGAGCCTATAGAAACCCGTTTATCGCCGAGGTACGGATTCCGCATATAATCTCGCCGACGGTTGAAGGCAACGCCACGACGTGTCACGTCGCGCATCGCGACGGACGAAACTTTCGCGTGCGTTTAGTCGGCGCCGCCGCCGATGACGACAACGACGGCGACGACGACGCCGCGACAGAGTGCGGCATATACCTCCGACGTCGTTATCGTTCGCCGCCGCCACTGCTGCGAATTTTAATGGAATAGTTGCGTTGTCGCCGCGGAACGATACCGCGGCTCGCGATTTGTCACGCCGGCAGAAACGCAGACGATCGTTTCGCCCTTCCCCACGAATTCTCCAGGAAAGTTCTGATGCGGCGTACGAGTGGAATTAGGTGCATACCGTACATCCTGAAAATTCCGCTCGCCTTCTTCTGTTACGTTCTTTCATACATCTCCTGACTATCGGGATTTCAGTAAAATTTGAGAAATTGCATGATTTACTTACCCGAACGGAAAGTCTCGCCAAATCAGACTTTAATTATTTTTTCCAACGTCCACTGGTGACCATCAAATTCTATTCCTAGTTTGCGCGCGAGTTAGTATTCCAGCTAGCCAGTACGAGACAGAGTCGGCAGCTGAAGTCTAGGGGGTTGCGATATTACCTCTCCCTTATGATTGCACCGAGCTGTCAACAATGTCGCTGCACGAACTTGAAAAGGCTCGTGACGTTCTTTCGGAGAAGAGGATCAGTCTTTATTTCTACCGGTCGCGAAAGAAAGCTCGCCGGCACTCGATTTAGGTGTAGATTCCGCGTCTAAATCGTTTCATTACAAGATTTCGTAGGGGGTCCCGGCGCATCTGCATTAAACGCAGCCCGGAACCGGTTCGCCAGCCTCGTATCAACCTACTAAAGCGTTTCTTTTTTCCATGTCGATTTATTGCTCGTCACGTCGTGAAAGATGTCGTCGACGAGCTCGCCACGGTTTGAGAATTGTTCCCGATGGAACGGTGGATATTGCGATAAAATAACCGGTTCTTGCGATATATATGTAGTCCCAAAAAATTAAATATACATTAGTCTTTATTATATGTGTTTATTTTTATAATTATCCAATGTTCCAATCTTAATCAGACATGTACGCCTGTCATGTTAGTATTGGCACGTAATGATTAGCATTAACATTCAACTTACTTTTATAAAAACAGCAGTCCCAATTTTTTGCATAGCTTTTAAGCTGTTAGTTATCTCCCGATGTGATTATTTCCAGGT